CCGAAAGTTGATTGTTCGGGATGCGACATCTATGTGGGGAAGTAACCGTTAGAGATCTTGTTTGTGGAAGAGGAGTCGAATTGGGGGCACCTCTTGACAGTATCGGGGGATGATGGGGAAAGCCTAAGATCACAAGTGTGTGCCGTATATAATATACAAGCCACAAGCGCTCTGCTGCTGTGCTTGTGATCTTGAAGTACCCTTTGAGAAAAAGTCGGGGAAACATCGCACCATACTCTTTGACAACGCTAATTCGTGAATGAGTCGACCGTAACATGGCTGCATGGAGGGATTACTGTGCAAGGGTCTTTTCCTGATTGGGTCGCCATACTCGACACAAGGCTTTCACAACTGTTCAGCGAGAGAGAGAGGCACAGAGCTTGCTATTCTCATTGATCGGTGCAATCAATCACCGTGAAGCCTGTAGCATCTAAGATCCTTCAACCGACTCATAGAATATGGCGTGATACGATGACCATTAATGTTTGATCTGATTTGAAACGCCGCGAGAAGCGCTGGTACCGAAGACAGCGCAAGGGTCAGCCTACGCGTTGACAAGGTTGACAGAATGAACGAGCTTGGCGTTCCCAGCCCACATCCGATAGGTAGATATAGCGCCAGCCAGGGGTCAAAGAGCACCAAAGTAGAATAGCCCATTGCAGATTTGAAATTACGAGGTCGACTATTTTCAACTTGAAGGCGCCGACGCTATAATCGGTTCTTGATATTGGTCCTCCCTGAAACCCAGAATCAGAAATTGATGCAAGCCTACGTAGGGCCGTTCTGCTGAAGACGTCTGATACCCAAGAAACGTGAGAGCTTCAAGTTGTTTGTTGGCCCAGGCTACCAGAGATGGTGAGGCTTCCAAACAAGGGATAGCCTGTAGGCTCTGATAGCTGGTTACTGGTGAAAGACACAACTTGCTTCGCTCTAGAGCGTGTCTACGGTCCCGGGAAATACCCGAATGAAGCACCTCCTATCAACCCTGCAAAAGTTTGGATGAACTTGCCGTCGTTACGGTGCGAACCGAATGAGAACGCGTAGATCGGAGCTCGAAGGTCACTTTGACGCTCATATCACGCAGCCTTCGACAAATGTCATTCACGAAAGGTGCTAGTGTGTTCAACAAACACGTATCCGATTGACTTGGGATAGAAATGCAGCGTACGGTTTGAAACTGTAATTTTTGGCATCACTGAGCTCAGCAGTAAGATCGAGGTAGTTTTTTTGGCTATCAATGTCCATTCAAGGTCATTGGAGGGTGTAGAGGTGGGTTTGCTTCGCGAGAACATGGGGGTTTGAGTTTCCGTATGGGCGCTTATTGGCACCTGCGATTCTAGTCTAAGCGCGCATGCTGTGCCGACGTTGCAGTTACCGCTGTGCTCGTTGGCACTCACCACCACTCTCTCCTTTCAGCATCTCCGTTTGCTCTTTCTTTTCTCTATCTATCGGGTCAGTTGACTCGTGAGCATCTGCCATGAGGCTTACAGGCCCGGAATATCACTCTCTTTCACAAACGCCAGAAGATGACTCCGATACTATAGCTCCTTCAATATTGTCAACGACATCCGGAAAATCGATAGTGAAGCCACCTACATACTATGGAGAGGGCTCATTCGATCCACCCTCGTCAGACTCGAGCGTTGATGAGGAAGAAGAAGGATTGTTGGAGATGGAGAAACCACCCATGAGCCCGGGTTTCGCTGAGAGCGGTCTTGGAGGTAGTAAGAAGAAGGTAACTTATGTTCGAGTTCTGCTTCAATTCATGGACTAATATCTTTCGAATGAGTGTAGAGACCGTCTTCACTGCGATTTCTGATAACAACAATTCTCATACTGCTCGGCTTGAGTGCCCTTATTGGATTGATTGCAGCAAGGACGTATGTTGGGACAGGATACAAGTTACCTGGAACGAAGAAAGTCACAATGGATCACATATTCAACGGAACTTTCTATCCTCAAAGGAATAGTGTGGAATGGGTTCCAGAAGGTATGTTCTACCGCCTTTCAAGTGACCGCAGTAACTAACGATCGTAATTTACAGCCGGTGATGGTGTGTTCTCCATAAATGAAGGCGGGCTCATCAAGCTTGTGGATCTCAAGACCAATGAGACCAGAAACTTGGTGGACATGAGAGACGTAAAAGATGTGCGTGTGCCATAAATTCGCGATTATCTGGAGGAACTGACAGCTTGCAGGAACACGGAAACGGTCTCATGATTTCAGGCTGGCAGCTATCGCCTGACATGAAGTATATCCTCATAAAAGCGGACCACGTCAAGGTAATGGTGCTCACCAGCTCTGCGGGCAAAGTTTTGTCTAACACGGAGATTACAACGCAGCAATGGCGCTGGTCATCTTACGGGAATTATTACATCCACAATATTGAAGCTAAAACCACGTTCCCGATAACAACACCGACAACACCACCAACAACGGCCTATGCCGCCTGGTCCAATACCGGAGAGTCCGTCGCTTTTGTCCAAGATAATGACTTGTATGTCCTTATGCAAGCCGAGTAAGGACAAATCGATTTTCCTTCCATTCTCGTATTCTCATCTGCACCCACAGCGGTACAACCCAGCCAATCCGTATAACGAACACTCCACCGGAAGCCAAGTCGACCGTCTTCAACGGTGTCCCAGATTGGGTCTACGAAGAAGAGGTCTTCTCGGCAAATTACGCTCTATGGTTCTCTCCTACGTCTACCAAGCTCGCTTTCCTACGCTTCAACGAGAGTGCTGTAGACGAGTTCGTTTTCCCGATCTACAACCCAAGCGAAGATTCGTACCAGGTCAATCCTTACACCTCAGAAGTACGGATGAGGTATCCAAAGCCTGGCTATGCGAATCCGATTGTGAATGTCTACGTGGTAGATTTGACTGCCATTCCTGTTGGCGGTGTCGGGGAGGTCAGTCTTTGTCGAATCTACCTCAAATATCTCGTGCTAACGCTCTTGTCTAGGCTATGGTAGAGCTATCTTGGGAGGGCCGCCATCGAGCAGAAGATTCCATCATCTCGGAGATAGCATGGGTTGGGGATGATGAACTCATTGTCAAGGAGGTGAACAGAAACGCCGACGACGGCAATGTTGTATTCTTCGATCTCGCCAATGGTGTCAAAAGTGCGACCCAAGGTCTTGTCGTGCGGAAGCTTGGCAAGAACGGCGAGGAGGGTGATGACGGATGGATTGAAGCCGTACGTCTCCTTCATCGTTCAAACATCCTCAAAGACTGACATCGATTCACAGAGCCAAGACATCTACCCAGTTGAACTCGGGTATCTGGATATCGTACCGACTCCCGAGGGATTCAACCATATCGCGCTTTTTTCGCCTGCCAATAGCTCGAATCCGATCTGGCTCACGAAAGGTGAATGGGAGGTTACTGGTGGTATCAAAGGCGTCGGCACGGCTGATATGTACGATTATCGCTCCTTTTTGCTGGACATCCCCGCCGACTAACGAATCCCTAGCTACTTTGAGGGAACGAAGGAATCCTCCATCGAACGACACTTGTATTCTGTCCCCGTTCCGACATCAGACGTTTCTAGTGTCAAGCTAACAGAGCCCAAGTGGCTGACCAAGCCGTCCACCTTGGTTAACCCGAACATACCTATAGTTTCGACCGAGCTCAATGCAGAGCTGAACGAACAGCTTGGTGACGGAAAAGAAGAGCAAGCTTTCTTTGACACGGATTTCTCGCCTGAGGCAGGCTTCTATGTTCTGAGTTACCGAGGGCCTAACGTTCCGTGGCAGAGGATCATCAAGACCGGGGATGAGGGTGCGTATCGCTGACCCTGGTCTCGCCCGCACGAACTTATGATATCTTTTTCCCCTAGCCTTCGATTATGTCCTAACTTCCAATGCGGAGCTCGTCAACATTACAAGCCAGTACGAGGCTCCGACTGTTGTCTACGATACTATTAAGAGCGATGGTGTTGGTACGTCTGCCTCCTCCTATTATGCTTTTTTTGCTTACTCTTTCTGGTAGAACTGAACGTAAAGGAACTCCGCCCGCCCCGTATGGACGACTCTGGCCGAACGAAGTACCCCGTCCTCTTCCACGTCTACGGAGGACCCAACAGCCAACAAGTCAACACCCAGTTCTCCTCGAACCGCGATTGGCATTATTACCTCACCTGCAACCTCGGTTACATCGTCGTCACCATCGACGGACGGGGGACAGGGTTCAAAGGGAGGAAGATGCGGAATTGGGTTAAGAGTAACCTCGGGTTTTTCGAGACGAGAGATCAAATCGAGGGAGGGAAGATATGGGCGACGAAGACGTACGTTGACCCGAAGAGGATTGGGATTTGGGGGTGGTCGTATGGTGGGTTTATGGCTTCGAAAGTGGCCGAGGCGAATCAGGGGGTGCATTCGTTGTCGATGGCGGTGGCGCCTGTGACGAGTTGGAGGTTGTATGGTGTGTTGGTTTTTGATCGTTGCTTCCTTCCGGTTGACTGATTTAGGTGTGGATGTTTTATAGATTCGATATATACCGAACGGTATATGAACCTTCCCTCATTGAACCCTGGGGGGTATATCAACGCGTCGATCACGAATGTGACTGGATTCCATAATATCAACTTCCTCCTGGCTCATGGGAGTGGGGATGATAATGTGCATTATGCGAACTCAGCGCATTTGATCGATATGCTGACTAGGGAGGGTGTCAGAGGGTGGAGGTTTAGAATGTTTACGGATAGGTTCGTATTTTTTGCTTACGCTTCGTGGCGTTCTTCATTTGCTGACGCCTGGTCCTCTACTTGTAGTGACCATAGCATTGGTAGGCGGGGTGCTTATAGGGAGCTGCATGAGTTTTTGACAGAGTATTTGGTGGAGAAGTGGGGGAAGGGCGGGAGACGACGGGGATGGTGATATTTATACTAGAGGATTGGACTTCGATTATTGTACCGTATGATGCATCCGCTACTGGATTTTTTAGTTCCGAGCTTGCGCATGCTTTGAAAAAAAATTGTCACGCAGGACTCACAACAAATGACGAGAGTGGGATTCGAACCCACGCCCCGGAGGACTAGATGTTGGATCGGATGAGCCTGATTCTAGCGCCTTAGACCGCTCGGCCATCTCGCCATGCTGTCCTATGAAGGGACAGCAATATGACCTAACCGTTCTGCTGAGTTTTACTGTCCACTTGTTTGGCCCGTTCCACTTCTCATCGACTTCTCACGCTTGATGGTAGCAATGGAATAATCACTTAGTCACGGATGTTTCCCATTGATCATCGTTGCAAGCCAGTGGCAGCCAGGTAGGTCCAACTCGAACATTACCCCGAATATCTTATCATTCGTAGCTTGTCGAGTGCTATACATACATTACTCAACCTTATTCAGAGGGCACATTCTCTTCACTTACTTGACAGGCTTATAGTTATGCTCTTGAGAACGATACAACTTTGCAGTTACTTCCGAGGAGCTGGAAGATTGGCAAGACGATGCCGAGGAGGACTGCTATGGCCGAGGGTCGCTGAATGCATCGCTCAAAAGCTATACCGCATATACATATGGAGTAGTAGAGCGATTCACGCTTTTGGACTATCCTTCACTTCGCTCAAGCTATTCCTCTGGGGGGCCCGCAGCTTTCGACCTCCCGGAGGGTTCAAGTCTCCCGCGTGATAAAAACCTGAGGCCCAGGCTCCAGCCTTTCGAGCAACATACCGGTCAATTGGTATCTGAGAGAGTCGCTTTGTCCTTAGTCTACGATTGCACCGCTAGAAGCCATCCTGAGGCCCATGGCGCTATCCCTGAACCGATCATACATGCACACATCTTCCCGTCAAACTCACCCTTCCCCGCATAAATATTTAGGTCCGACAGACCCCTCGCGACTACGATCCCTCGGTTGAGCAGGCAAAGTAGCGCCCTTACCCCGACTTCCCTGATTTTCAAGGTTTATGTTCCGGCTCGTACTTTGACTTCGCCCCCCGGATTTCCGTCGAGTAAGGACCTTGGAACTCGGGAATCCGAGGTGGGAGGGGGGTCTCATGAGGGTTTAACTGAATGCATGATCAATCTGAGCGTCATTGAATTCATCAGGTGGGAGAAGTCATACCGGATCGGCGTTGAATGAATTCATATCTTATTTTCGAATCAATGGTCCCGGAAACGCGGTCGTCTCCTGTTTGTGACTTTTCATGGTTTTCATGGTCGAGACTTGAGCCCCCTGATCCAGAGAAGACCTAAGAGAGTAATGCCTTGTGGGTACGGGAGGAGTCACGAGTGTAAAATGTGTGTTGCGTTTTTGATGGAGATGCCCATATGAGATGATTATCTCGGAGAAAGCGCCATACAACGTGGAGAATGCGAGCCGGCATGTCAATTTATTGTTGCCAATTGGACGGGCTGGACGTAATACGAGAGGCAACGATGGGCATGAGCTGGGCAAGGGTTTTTTGACCACTACAGATAGGCTCTTGCTTCCGTGCCTCGAACAAGCCGTGAGAATCTGTAAGAACTAGAAATCGCCGGAGACCTATGAAAGAAAATTGTGCTATTGGACGCGAGTGACGAGAAAAAGGTCGAGAATTGAGGATTGAGGACCTCGATGGAGGCTCTTGGTACTCGGTCCGGCCGAGAATAGGCTGTTGCTGTTGGAAACGATGTTCAACGGGCTATCGAAAGCTGGAGCTAGTCAAGGAATGGACGCACCACAGTCCTCTAGAGTTTGTATGCGCAGTTTGTAACAAACAGCGTTATCAGACTACATATAAATCCACTTGCATCGAGGACGACCACTTTTCTTTCCCCGATTTCGCCTTACGTAAAGTTGTTTCCCACGGAGGCGTCGGCATCAACACGACCAAATTCAGACAAATACAAACAGCCTTCCCGCCTACGTCGACGAAGAACCCCGCATCACCGTCGAGGTCGACGACGAGGACCGCGACGACGACGACAGTGACACTTGCACCGACGACGAGGATCCGTATGGCCACTGTCTCGGGGCAGCAGCAGCCACCCAATACTCCTCAACAGGCCCAGATACCTACCTCCCAGCCAGGTCAACTTCCGTCCTCGCAGCCCGGTCAATTACCAGGCCTCCATCCATCGTCTGCGCAAGGGTCAGGACCGCAGAATGACCCAACATCAACAGTCAATCTGTCCTGGGACGGCGACAGGATGTGCGTCCTCATTCCAACGTCTATATCGACGTGTTATTGCCGTATTGCTGACCACCTGGTCTGTCTGGCGACGAACGTTTTCCCTTTCAAAATAGGTTCAACGTCTACATTCTCGACTATTGTAATAAAAGAGGCTTCAAGAAGACAGCAAAGGAGTTCACGGCTGAAGCAGAGCTGCCGCCAGATTCACAACCCCCGATAAACGCGAGGCAGGGTCTTTTGTTCGAGTGCGTCGTAATGCTGTTTTTTATTTTGGGTTGATGTGCTGATAGCTCTTTTGCTGTAAGGTGGTGGAGTGTATTTTGGGTGTTGTTTACCGCGAAGAGCAACAAGACTGGCAACGAGGATGCATTGTTATACATCGAGGTACCTGTCACTTTATTTCTTTCATTTTTCGTTCGGTCTCTATTTCTTTTCATTCGGTATCGAGTCTTGTGTGAGGGGCCCCGACCATACGCTAGCGGTTGGAGGTCACAAGAGAATCATTATCAAGCCATTTATACCTTCAATCACTGACGGAACCGATCTTTCATTCCATTTTCTCGATACCGACGACCCTGAAATGTCTCTGGTCGTTCCGCATTTTACCCTTTTTCTCTGGATGGCCATTTCGTACCGATCTCTTTCGTCTTCTCGGAAGGCAATTCAAGCGTGCTGATTGACCCGTTCCAGCACACAAATCAACAATCACAGTTGCGACAAGCTAGCCAACGACAGCACTCCCAACACCCCTCCATGAGCTTGGGTTCTGGTCCGAATGGTATGGCCATGGGTCAACAACCAGGACAAGGACCATCAGGACAACAAGGATCGCTGATAGGTCAACCACCGATGGGGAGGGGCAATGGTGGTCAGAGAATCATGCCTAACGGCATCGGACCGCCGCAGGGATCTCAGCCAGGAAGCATGGTGGGAGCAAACGGAACTGGCAACACTCCCGGATTCCAACCCGGAAATCCAACGATGAACGGTATTCCTCCCCAAGGCGGCATGTCTCCTGGCCAGCAACCAATGCCCGGTGGACTCCAGAGTTCACAATTCCCTGGAAGACCTCAACAACCTCTAAACGCTCGTCCTGCGCCAAATGGGCAGCAGTCTCAACCCCATTTCCCGAGTCCGAGTCCGACGATGGCTCATACTCCTCCTACTGGTCAGCAAGGACCGGGAGGACCTCAGCAGCAGCAGCAACAGCCTGGTCACGGTCAAGGAGGACCGATGATGGGACAAGGTGCGGGACCTTCCCCTCATCTTGGCCCACGACCCAGTCAGTCCGGACCGGGTGGTATGTTACCTCCTCCCGGCCAGCAAGGACCTCCCGGCAGTCAGCAAGGAAACGGTCCCGCGCAAGCATCGACACCGAATTCGGGAGGTACGGGTTATCCGATGAGCGGTGGTATGATGGGACGTAGTCCGAGTCGAGCTGGAGAAGGTCAACCTGGAGGACCTGGACCTGGTGGGATGATGACTCAGCCGAGCCCTTCGATGGTTAATAGGCAGATTGGGGGTCAGAATATGGGTGGGAATCCCAATTCGTTGATGAGTGCCGGTACTCAGAATATGATGGGTGGCCCTGGCCCTCAGAATATGATGAATATGGGTATGGGAGGAGGGATGTCTGGGCCGATGGGTATCGGCGGTAGTCCGATGATGGGTGGTATAGGCGGAATGGGTGGTGGAATGGGGAACATGGGGGGCCCAGTCGGGATGCTGTCTCCGAGTGCCTTAGAAACGGAAATTGCTGCGATACCGCGGCAGCTCGTGTTGGAGATCAAGCGTGAAGCTGGCGTTGAGAATAAGGATACCTTGACGATAGACGACAGGGTTCGTGTTCTGACGATCGCGTTCATCTGTGTTTACTGACTGTCCGCTCTAGCGGCGAGTCGTGAGTGTCTGGCGTATGCGCCAGGGTAAACCTGGTGGCGTACCACCGCTTTCAGGCCCTTCCGGTAGTATGGGCGTTGCCGGGGGTCCTATGATGGGAATACCTTCGAACAACGGAAATCCTCAGGGCGGTATAGGTGGTCAACCCGGCGGCCCTCAACAAGCTGGCATGGGAAACCGGATCGGTGGAAAACGAAATAGTGCATCAGGGGCAGAGGTGCGTCTCCAAACTGATCCGTCACAATAACCAACGTTAAACGAACTTTTCTTAGGCCGAGGGTAGCACAGGCTCCTCGCCACCGAATGCAAAACGACGTCGGCCTTCGCCAATGGACACCCAACATTCGCCTTTGCCAGGTGCGCCGAATTACCATCCTCAACAACCTCAAGGCCCTCAGCAATCTGGTATGATGGGAAGGCAATCCATCCCTGGGTTTGCTGGTATGGTACCTCCGCCTGGCGGTGGGATGAACCCAAACCCGCCGATGGGCGGTGGAAACATGATGGGTGGCGGGATGGGAGGTATGGGTGGTATGGGTGGTATGGGTGGTATGAATCCAGGTGGAATGCCTGGTCCCGGCCCTGGTCCTGGTCCTGGGATACAATACCGCAACCACATGCAGGTCCACAATCGACCGATGCCAGGGCAACCTGGAAATGCTGGTTCACCTGCTGCTTCGGGTTCGCACGAACCGTTTGGTAGGAAGCCCTCGCAACCTGGTGGTCCTGGTGGCATGATGCCTCCGCCGTCTCCTTCTCCTGGGATGAAACAGGAGGGTGCCCCTAATTCCGGTGGTGTTCTTCCCAAGGACGGTATAAAGGCCGAAGGGTCGCCGAGAGGGAACCTCAATGCTGGCCAGACACCTGGAACCGCATCGTCGACGCCAGTGCTCCAGCACAATGTACCCCCGCCGCCTCCTCCTTCTGCTCAAAGCCAGGGTTCACAACAACATACTCCGAACGCTGGTCCTGGCGGGATGCAAGGCGGAATGGTAGGGATGACGGCTCCCTCACCACTTGGTAACCCCCTACAGAATCCATCATCGCAGAATCAGCCACCGCAACAGCCACT